GGGAGATGCCCACAAAGTCTGGTCATACTGTTCTTTCCAGTCTTGTCCGCGTCTGCTGGGGTGTTCAGTCCCTAGCTGTAGTTCTCTCTGCTCCAATTGCTGCTACTATTTCGGGGGCCTGAATGTCCTCAGCACAAATTCTCCAGCACCTTAGCTTTTCAGTTCTTTACTATCCCACTTTTCCAATGACCTTTTACTTCCTCTCCGATCCTGTGACTCACCCCAGTGACATTTAGACATCATCTTCCTTCAGAACTGTTCATCTTCAATGTTTCTGTGCTTTCTACTCAGCTTTGATTTTATATAAAAACACCCCTCTTTTCAATTAAAAGAAGTAAGGAAAGAAAGTTGTTCAAAAATACATCATTTTTTTTAAAAGGCAATGAGGTGGCACTTGCTGCCAAGCCCGAGGTTGACCTCAGTTCATTCCTAGGCTCCATGCGGTGGAAAGATGACAAAGATTCCTTGGCAGTTGCCTGGCCTTTGGTCTCCACTAGTATTATGATGTGTGCATACACACACCCACTAACAAATAAATGGTTTTGGTTTCTTTTTAAAGAAAGGAAAGTTAAAACACTGCAGCTCAAGGATTACCAGTCAGCCTGTTTGAAAAGTGTCCAGCATTTTGCCAGGAATGAATTTTATCCATTGTACCTCCAAAGTTCCTACTTTTTACTTTTTTCATCTGCCTTTTTTTTCACTGAATGATCTGTTTTCCCAAGGTAATAATCCATAACTATATCCTCATTATTATGACTGAAAAACAGTTTATCAACTGGTCATGATATTCCTCATCCGGCGTTAAGATGTCTCAACTCCAGTACTATTGATACTTCTGCATGGATCTTTGCTGAGGTGGGCAGTGTGATACACTATAGAGCAGAGGTTCTCAATCTGTGGGTCATGACTCTCTTTGGGGTCAAATGCCTTTTTACAGTTGCCTAAGACCATTGGAAAGTATATATATTTGTATTATGATTAATAACAGTAGCAACATTACAGTTATGAAGTAGCAACAAAAGCAATTACAAGATTGGGTGTCAGCACAACTTGAGGAACCGTATTAAAGGGTTGCAGTGTTGGGAAGATTGAGAACCCCTGCTGTAGTCTTGACAGCAAGTCCTCCTGGAGCACCCATTGCCTCAGGAACAGACGGCAGGAACACTTTCCCCAAATCACAAACATCAAAAATAACTCCAGGCATTGCCAAGGGTCTCTTTGGGAAATTCTACCCCGAGAGAATCACCGTTGGAGACAGCTTGCTTATGGCAGACAGTTAGGTTTTACTTACTTTGTCAGGATTTGAAAACAGCACTGATTTTGAAACTCTAACCTTCACCGTAAACACAACACATTTTTAAACTACCTTTAAAGAAGAAACTTCAGGCTTGAAACATTGTTGTCTTTTCACAAGCAGCCCTCCAAGCAAGGGTAACTGTTTAAAAGGCAATTGAAAGAACATAAATCCCTTCTCCTGGCTTTGTCGGACTTTTCAAAACCATGCCTAGCGAATAGCAAAACAAAACACTACCTTTCCCTTTAAATGTGTAACTCTTTGATTGCTGGCCAGGATGGTAGTTTATTGGCTATTTAGATGGCTGCTTTAGGACATGCCTATTATTGTTCTTGCCCATTCTTGATTGTTAATTCTGTCTTCTGGCATGTCAATCAGCCCTTGTTGCTATGACAAAACCTGAGGAAAACAACTTACAAGGAAGAAAGATTTATTTGGGTTCAAAGTTTCAGAGGTTTCAGTACATACACTCTTGGCTGTTGTGAGACAGATCACAGGGGAACATGTAATAAGCCACTCAGTCTTTAGAAACAGGAAGCAGAGAGTGAGCAGAAAAGGCCAGAAACAAGGCATGTCCTCGAAAGGCCCCCAGTGGCCTACTTGCTCCAACCAGGCCCTACCAGTTTTCATCATCTTGAAATAATGCCATCAATTCTGTACACTCCAGTGGATCGATCCACTGATGAAGTCAGCCTTCACGATCCAAACATAATCCAACCTTCAACACAAGGTTCCTATGCAAATCATAACATCCAGCTTGGTTTTTGTTTGTTTGTTTGTGTTTTTTGGTAAGCTGTATGCCCAGTTCACCCATACAGAAATCATATGCTTTTGTATCACCATCAGTCGTTAGACTATGGTTTTCCTTTAATCATTTCATGAAAAGGAAGATCACCTCTGAAACCATAAACTTGAGTGGTTTTTCTTTATTAGCTTAAACTTTTATTCTTGCCCAGCTTTTAAATTCTCACACTGAACCTTCTCTTTTTCTTTTCTCTCTCTCTCTTCTCCTCTAGAGCAGTGTATCCCAAACCTGATTGCAGGACAGATCTCTGAACTCTGCTAAGGCTTGCAATGGGATGAGAGATCCAGAATTTTCAGTATGCTCTAGGTAACATCAATGTCTTTAGACCACACTTGGGGACTAAGTGCTAAATCTTCCGGACTCCAGGCCTCTGATTCACATCCACTGACTGGTTCTTCTTATCTAGTGTGAACTTCCAGGGCAGTGGTTGCAACTTTTCCTGGAATAGGGAGGGCAGTCCCACCTCCCAGTCTCCAGCCACAGAGCCATTATAGCAGCAGTCTCTGCCTTCCCGATGCTGCCACCCTTTAATACAGTTCCTCACGTTGTGCTGAGCCCCAAATGTAAAATTTTTGTTGCTACTTCAAAATGTTGTAATTTTGCTACTGTCGTGAATCGTCGTGTAAATATCTGATAAGCCACCTATCTGATATGCAACCCCAAGAGGTCCTCACCTCTTTAAACCGTTTGTTATTTTGTTACTGTGAAGGTCAGAGGACAAGTTTGTGGAGTCTGGTCTCTCCTTCTACCTTTACACGGGTTTTGAGACTCAAAGTCCAGTGTCCAGTAACCCAAGCAATCTTTACCCTTAAGCCATCTCTCCCACTCTCAAAGGCCCTTTTAAAAATAACCTTCTCCTTTTTGTGCTCCGGGAAGGAAATTTCACCTCATCACTTCGGGATGGGCCCTCTCGTCACTATTTTAAAAATCTGTTCATGAGTGCTATAACAAATCAGTAGATTTTGAAGTTTGTTTTCACCAGACCCTTGCAGGCGTCAGTATTTCTCTAACAGGGTTCTGCAAATCCACCGGAGGGTGGGACAGTGTATGTGGAGTCCTTCAGAGCACGATAGCACGTCACGAACCACTGCTCATCAGATATGATCTGTGTTCAGCGGCATGGTCTGTGTTACGATCCACTTCTCATCAGTTATGATTTGTGTTCTGTTTAGTGCAAACACAACCCACCCCATCCTCCCAGAACGCAGCTTTTTAGGAAGAAGCGCCAGAACTGGCCTAAGGAATCCGAGTGCCAACAGTGGCTCCGCTTTTGTCCTGCGAGTTTGTCACAAACTTTATCCTGATTTAGTCAGATCTCATCTACTATCTACTTTTGTTGGACACGTTTCCGTACCGCACAACTTGGCATTTAAAGCACACACACACACACACACACACACACACACACACACACACACACACGTTCTTTCTTAAAAGCCCCCAACTCCATCCCCACCCTCGGCTTCCCCAGTTGCAGCACTGGGCTGGAAGCCTGGCCCTCCTCGGACTCCAGGTGACCCGCACCGCCCACCGCGGGCACCGTGTCCAGCGCGATCGGCACAGTGGAGGCCGTGAACGGCTTCTGTGCAGCGTCTCGGGGCCGCAATGGCCAAGGACAGGCCGCACGTCCAACACAAGCGCAGTCGGGTCGCGCTCCACCGCCCACCCGCTCCTCATAAACCCGCGGGGCTAGCAGTCCCTGGAGCGAGGGTGGAGACCCCGCCCCAAGGGGCGGGCAAGGCGCAGCGTGGGCGTGTCGTCCCGGGAAACGCCCCTCTGACCGGGCTATAATTTCCCCGAGCTCCAGGCGGCGGCCGGCGGGCGGAGACGCGCGCCTGGCAGCGGTGAGACGGGACACGCGGAAGGGTGCTGCTGCGGGGACTCGGGCGGGCTGCGGGGCCGCAGGAGCCACCTTCGCCTCGTATCTCGGAAGAAGGAGCGTGAAGCTCAGGTGTTCCCCGACGGCGGGGAGGAAAGGTGCCCGCGCTTCCCCGGGGGGTCCTCAGCAGCTCTTTTCTTCTCTCCCCCATTTCTAGGACATGGACCTCGCGGTCCTGTGGCTGGGGCTTCTTCTGCCGGTCGTGACCGCCCTGGATTTCCGATACCACCACCAGGAAGAGATGGAGGCGTTCCTAAAGAGCGTTGCCCAGAACTACAGTTCGATCACGCACTTGCACAGCATCGGGAAATCTGTGAGAGGTAGGTTGCCTCCAGCGCACGTCCCCAACCCTCAGCTCCCGTTCAAAAGTTCATTGAATGGCAGTGTCTGGTTCCCTGTCTGTGACGCTCCGGGGACGCGCTCCATGCAGGTAAAGCATACCTTGCCCGGTCGTTGGTTTTGTGCTGTTTGTTGTTTTGTTCAATTTTGTTGTAAGCGGTAAGAGGAGACATTGTTTATCTGAGAGGTGTATTTTCGTTCCCTTTCAGGGTAAACAACTTCACTTTAATCTAACTCAGTTCCCCTTTTCGTTGGCTTTCTTACACACTGATTGGGACTGTTAACTACTGTTTCCTCGGGTTGCTTTTAAACCAGACATTGCCATAGTTTTGCGGAGTTCTATGCATGTATAGTTTAACCCTGCGGCTTAAAGTTATGAGAAAATGCGGTTTTATTACCGAAGGCGACTTTAGGTGTGTCCACTTAAGGGACACACCTGCTAAGTAACAATGAATGATATTCTTGGCATTCTCATGTTTATCACTTATTTTGCTTTAATTTAGAAACTCTGTATTCTCAGTGGAGGAAGCAGATGTGATTCATAGAAATTAAGTGTTTTGGTTAAGACACCTAGATGGTGCTTGTGAAAGATGGCTGGGACTCTCTGAATGTGACATGAATCAGCCACTCTGATCTGCTACACAGAGAAACCCTGTCTAGAAAAACAAAAACATAAAAAACAAGGAAGGGAGAGAAGGAGGGAAGGAGGGAGGGAGGGAAGAAGAAGAAAAAAAAGAAACTTTTCCTGGACATTTTGCCCTCTGCTGTGGGAGAGTGTCCTCAGCAAGCAGGATTTACTCTAGATTTACTTTCTTCTGTGGTCAACATAGGCAACCTCACCCAGAAGAGAGCAATGTGAAACTGGTCAAATGCTTCTTGGATTTTGTAAATATCCATCACATTTCCCTTGCTGCTATTACAAATTCAACTTTTTTCCTGTTTCACACTTTTGTTATTTATCTTTAATATGATTTGAATTCTCTTGATTTTAGACTCAGTTATGTATATTTTCCTAGTCATTTGCTTCCTTGGGACAATGGAATACTTTTTGGTTATTTCTGTTATACATGATATAAAGCTATTGATACATAGCTTACATGCTTCTATTATAACTGAGTTTTTAAAGATTATTTAATTTTATTGCATGTGTATGTGTGTTTTGCTTGCATGTTTCACTACATGCAAGCAGTGCCCACACACTCCAAAGAGAGCATCAGATCCCCTGGAGCTGGAGTTCCAGCTGTGGTGAACCTCCACGTGGGTGCTGGGAATCTAAATACAGTCCTCTGGAGAAGCCGCCAGTGCTAACCAGTGAGCCATCTCTCCAGCCATAAATGTTTACTTTTCAATTGAAACCCACACAATAGATGAGCACAAATGTACTTTTTACCTAGATTCAGACACAGTAGAAGGAAGGAATTCGTACAACCTATTGATACAGTGTAGACAAATCTTAGGTCAAACAAGAGAAGCAGTTCAAACCTGATGACTGAGTCCGGATATTTTTTAAAGGCACAAATACTCACTGTCTGTAGTGTGTGAGTGCATGTGTGCGTGTGTGCGTGTGTGTGTGTGTGTGTGTGTGTGTGTGTGTAATGAATTGAGTGTTTGTTGAACAAAGATGTATTCTGTCTGCTGCTTGCCATCAAGTGTCCCCTTTCAGATATAAATATATTTACTATTAATTTCTCAGGCTTAGCTCTCTACACCTCACCAAATCAGTTGAGGACTATTGTTTACTCGGCTTTTTTTTTTAATTTTCTGAAAAAAGTGTTTGTTTGTTTGGTTGGTTGGTTTTGTTTGTTTATTGAGACAAGGTCTCACTGTTGTGCCCAGAGTCTAGATCCCAGAAACCAAGAGATCAGACCCAATGTCAAAGCAAAGAGTTTAATTACAAGTTAACTCCATCCGTCTGACATAGAAGGTGAAGTAGGAGGACCCCACACTGCAGTGGGGAAGGGAATAGAGCAAGGGAGGTGTCTAGGGGTCTGCTAGTTGCATAGTAACAGTCTCAGGATTGGCACATCTCTAGGTGAGGGAGCCTGCTCTCAGCTGCAGGAAAGGAGAACTTGAGGGGCAGGGCAGCTACTGCAGTCCACTGTTATCAGTAATGCATCTCCAGAGCCCTCAGCTCAGCTAACTTCTGCTCCACCCAGTAGTTAGAGCACAGTTGGGGGCGTAGCACATTCTGCTGAGTCAGGGGCCTACATCCTGCTGGGTCTTTTCTGCAGCCTGTCCTGGTTGCCAAAGGGGGTGGGGTGGGGCTGATTTAGGGTCTGGGCCCTTCTCTCACTGTGTAGCTCTCTAACTATTCTGGGAACAGAACTCTGTAGCTCAGGCTGGTCTTGAACTCACAGAGATCTGCCTGCCTCTGCCTCCTGAGTGCTGGAGTTTAAGGAAAGCAAATCACTCAAAGACATTAGAATGAAAACCAGTACAGACTGATTTAGTCAAACTGGGTCAGAGTTCTAGAGATTGGCTGAGGGTACCAGCTAAATAGCCTAAGGGTCTGGCCTGGTCTAGGTCAAATAGATAGCACAGAGGTTATCTGGGCTGTTAGCCACCTCTGGTCCTGATTTTGGGAACTTGAGGGAGCCTGTGACTAGAAGGGTCCTTTAGATAACCAGCCACTTCCAGTCCTGATGGTAAGAGCTTGCATGGCCTGGCCTAACAGATAACTCAGATCGCTATTAACCACTTCCAGTTTGCAGCTTTCTGGGTGGAAGAACAGGTTTTTCATCTTTCCCATTGGTTTCCTGGTTTCTCTGTGACCTGTGAGCTCAAGGGCCTCTGAGCCCCCAACAGTGGTCCTCTACCACTGTAGTAATGTAGTAATGTAGTAATTATCTGTAGTAGTGGGATTGTAGATGTGCGCCACAATGCCCAGCAAGGGTTGGCTTTCAATAGATTACAGCAAAAGGGCTATTTCCTACATATAGAATCCCAAAGGAGCATTTGAAATAAGTTACTCAGTATCTGAGTGGAGAATCTTCTCTTGCCTATTATTAAATCTAAACTTTAATTTCCCTGAATAAGCAGTGTTGCAAGGCAAAGGGGTAGATAAAACTTTCCATTTACTGAGTGTTTGGACATAATCTTTCAATATCACTCACTCAAGTGGCATTATCCTACAGAATATGTTGAATGAGTCATGGAGAAGTTACATGGGTAGTATTCATTAGAAGAATCAAACTCAAGGCTGGAGACGGTTTATTCCACGAAGTCCTTGCTGTAAAGCAGTGAGGACTTGAGATGCCCAACACACACATAAAAAGATAGGTGCGGTGCCTTGCACATGTGAATCTCATCAGGGTACAGAAGGATCCCTAGGGCTCATTGCCAGAAAATTAGGTGGGTTCCAACCCCTGGGGTCTCAGACATAGGTGAGAAACCAATAGTGAAAGACACTCGTCACCTAGTATGGACCACTCATACACAGCGATTCAAACGCAAGTCTACTGATCTTCCAAACACATCTCCTCTCTCTTTGGAGAAACACTTTACCACATATGGAAATGGTTACAAGCTCTTTAGTTGGTTTCTAAACTTTTTCCGTTGTGTCCAGGCCTGTGCTTGCCTAGGAATACGACCCCTGCCCTGAAAGAGTTGGGGTGAGCAGGGGGAAAGCAAGACAGCTAGGAAACATGGCCACCATAAGTTCTGGGGTCGGGGTATGGCAAGGCTAAAGGATAGTCAGCCCGGTGGAATGGGAAATGCAGGAATCCCAGGCCAGTGTGGCCCACATCACACAGTAAAACCTTGCCTCAAAATAAAACATGCCTCTGATTTAAACAGTTTTTTTAATCTTCAAATCCTCAGTAGCCTCCAGGCAGAACGTCAGTGGGTAGTCAGGTAAGTGGAACAGTGGGCCTGGGCCTGACTTAGAGATACAGAAGAAGCCACTGTGACCACGGGAGCAAGGACTGAGGATCTTAAAAGCCGGGTCAGTACCTTCTTGCTTCATCCAAGGGGGACCATAACCATCCTGGGGACTGATGCCTGGTAGGAAGGTGACAGCTTCATTTTCTTGATCAGAAAATTTCTAGTGATTTTATAATTGGATAGATTATTTTTTTAATTCTATCTCCCCACTGTGTGTGTATGTGTTTACTACAGTGTTAGTGTAGAGATCAGAGTTCACATTTTGAAGGTTCGTTCTTCCTTTCTACCATGTGTGTCCTAGGGAACAAAACTCAGTTTGTTAGCCCTTTACAAGAATACATACATACATACGTGCATGCATGCATACATGCTTACACACATACATGCATACACACATGCATGCATGCATGCATACATACATAGATACATGCATGCATGCGTACATGCATACATACATGTTCCATACAAAGTGTGAGCAAACAAATATAGAAAGAAATGAACAAATAAGCAATTCCAGATTAGATCTTAGTTACTGACAGATTTGGTTCATTAGCCCAAATCTGCCACCTTTTAGAATTCATTTATGAATGTATTTAACTCATTTGTTCCTTGAGCCCTGTTGTCTACTGGAACCCTTCCAGGGGGCCATCTTCCTTTCAGCACTGGAGCTAAGGGAACTGAAACCCTGTTGCTGTGGTGGGGGAAAGCATTATTGAAGGGTCGTGATCCCAGGTCTGACCACTGGGATGCTCAGCAAAGCTGAGAAAGGCTTGAGAGGGAAGCTGATGCCTGAGCAATAATCCCGATGCTCCTAGGCAGATGTGCAGGGAATGTGGAGAGGCAACCTCGCTTGCTGACATAGGCAGTGCATGATTGCTGATCAGTGCAGAGACCGGGGCCTGACGGACAGTACAAGAATCAGCTCCCACCTTGTGCGAACTCCCCTGCTACGAGTGATCCAGGATGAGGGTTTGTTCCAGTGTATCATAGCATCCACACCACCTTAGCCACACTCACTGGAAAATACAGTCTGGGATATTTATGTCACTGTGAGCTTTAGTTTTGAAAACAGAATGTCCAAAGAACAGTGGCTGAGTCC